CATCCCTGGCAGTGTTCAAGGTCAGGTTGGACACAGGGGCTTGGAGCAACCTGCTCTAGTGGAAGGTGTCCCTGCCCGTGGCAGGGGGTTGTGTATGGCCAAACTGTCAGATTCCAAGGGCAAATCTTGGGTTTGGAGGGGAAAATGATATAAGTCATTTTATTAATCAATAAATCAGTTTATTAATGCACCCATTTGGCTGTCCAGGACTGAGGGAGAAATGCAGATGGAAAAGAAACAGAACTTTTCTCACCCACAAGGTAATTTTCCTGCTCTAAGGCTCAGCCACCAGGACAGAGCTTTGTGATGCTCCACGGGCCTAAGACACAGCCACAACCATGGAGCAAGGTAAAAGGAAAGACAGGAATCAGTGAGGAGGAGAGTTCTGCACCCCAATCTGGAGCAGAGACAGTGTAGGAGGTAGAAAAGAGCTGCAGAGCCTGAGCAGAGCACCCCAAACCCAGAGGTAACAGTTGTAGTCAGCACACACCTTGCCAGCTCGTCGCATTTGTCCCATAGGTACCTGAAGGAGACAAAAAGAAGAGAGAGGTTCAGCTCCCAAAGCAACAAAGTCAAAAGTTGAGAGATGAAATGGATCTAAATCAGTTTAATCACTTGTAAAAATGATGGGAAGGAGGGAATCAGGACTTCCAACAGCTGATTATGGAAATGTAATGGATAATTAATACATTTTACATGTTTTCTGAAGCACTTTCAAGCATTTACCCTTGAAAACAGCTCAAATATTCCATAAACCCCCTCAAGAAGCAGTAAAACCGCAGCAAAAGCAAATGTTTGCTCAAACTGTCACTTTTGGGAGCATTTTGGTGCTGCTGCTGCTGTTTAGGCTGGAAAGGAGGGAGCCCAAAGTCTCAAACAGCCCTGGACATGCTTTGTTTGCAGCACTAAAACCCAGGTGATAAACCCCAGCACATTCATCACTCCCAGAACTGTGTTTCATGGTATCAGAGGAAGCTTCTGCAGCAGCAATGATTTAAAATCATTCCAAATGATTTAAAACAGGTAGAAGAAAGGTGGAAAAAAAATGTTTCTGTATCACCCTATTCTGGCTAGAAAGAATTAAAAGCAAGCTCTACTCTCAAACTGCAACTCCCCAGATCTCTTTACAGACACAAACCTCACCTTGAGTGTTGGTGGCTCCAGTATTCCAAGTGCCATAACCTGCAAGGAAAAGAAGGGAGCTGTCAAAGCATCACCTCTGCTGCTGGCCCAGGGCTTGGTTCTTCCCTTAAATGACCCTAACCCCATCCAAGTCTTTAATTACAGCCTTGCTCCTGCTTTTCATTGCTTGGGAAACATGCCTGGAGCTGCCTGATGCTTTGTTTCAGCATCTGAAGGTCAACGAGACAGTTTGAAACACTCAGTTAAAAGAAGAGAGTGTTTTGAAAGCGAAATTGGGTTTAAATGGTTTATGACAACACAAAGCTACGTTGAGACACCAGAATTATAGGTCAGAATGACACCGGGTGCCACTGTAGTTCTGAGCTCCTGTGGAAACGCCAGCACCAGCAAACAGGAACCGGGCACGTCACCACCTCTTACATCACAGGTGGTTTACTAAGCAATCTCCTTTCCCACCGTTGGCATTTCCAGGTCAAATCCCTGTTTTCGGCTTTGCTTCCCAGTGGGATGGTGCCGGGATGTGGTTTTCCAGCTGCTCCACCCCACGTCAAGGTGAGACAGTGTGGAAATCAAGGCCAAATCTCCAATCCATCGACTGCAGCCACCCCAAAGCCTGACTTGAACTCCACAGCTCAATGTTACCGCTTCTTCACTCCAGCTTCAAGGGATATCAGTGAGCCCCTGGTTGTCCCAGGCACGATCCCAGCTCGATTCCTGCCTCCAAGCACACTCACGGCTGGAGAACAGCAGGAAGAGGAAGCAAACCCAGCCCAGGGAAGCTTTGCTCAGGGCAGATTGCTCAGTTTCAAACCCAAGATAGCAGCAGCTGGGGGATTAAAAGCGAGCTCCTCTCCTTCCGTTTTTAAGCTGTCTTGGCTGTGTTAATCCAGGAGGCAAAAATAGCCTGGACCTACTCAAAACCTGAGGAAGACAGAGGTTGCTCCGCCCAGAATGCAGTGTGTTCAAAGCAAAGACCTCAAGGTTTTAGTACAACTGAAGAACGGGGTAATCAAGAGTTCAATGTCTCGTCTGGGAACTCGTTATTAAGTAAAACACTCACTAGATGAGACACGGGGGTATTAAGGACTTGGTACCAAGCAGCAGCAGCACAGCACATCCATAAACATCCCCAGGAGGGAAAACTCCAGTGGAGTAAGTCAATAAGTCACCATCACCTTCCCTTGGGATAATAAATATGACCAAGGGCAGAGAAGGGGGGGGGGGGGAACCAACCCAAAAGGGACCACGTGTCCTGATTCCCAGCTGATTCCCAAGAGGCGCTCCCTGAGCTGGGGAAAAAGGATTTTTCTCCACACACCTGGACAAGCAGAGCAATGCTGAGGGATTTACTTGGTTCAGCCAAGGGGAAGTTTAACACCTGCAGAAGAAAAAGCCAGGACCCAGAAGGGAATTCCTCCCAAAAGCAGAGGTTCTCCTGCCAATTCCAACACAGGACTTGACCCAGGGAGAAGAAAGCGTGTTTCCTGCTGGAATCACGAAGTATTGAAGTTAATTTAGAGAGGTTTATTTATAAACCCCCAAATATGCAAAAAATCGTTCATTTTTATACCATGCAACGGTGAAACCTCACAGCAGCACATCCCTACAGCTGCAGCACACTCAGATGGGTTTAATCCATCAAGAGTGAAGGGAAGATCCCAGCTTTAAGCAGCAAATTCACTTCACGAAGCCAAAGACCTTTTTCCTTGGGAAGAACTTTTAGCTGCCTAAATGCTTCCAAAGCTGTCAGCAGAGAACCAGCACTCGGGATGATTCAACACTCGTTGAAGGCGGTTCTAATCCTTATCACAGTTTCCCACCTCCTTTTATACCCGCAGAACAGGCCATAAACCGCTTCAAGCCCATTTAAAGCGTGATGAAAGCGATCTCCAGCGAGCTGAAAGCAGAGACAAGAGGGATCCTCTCCACAGGCCTGCGCCGACATGAAGTCCAGAGGAACCCTGCGTGATCCCCACAGACAAAGCACCTCGCGGGGGAGCAGGAACTCGATCAAACACACATCAAAAGGGCATCTGCGCCATGGACCAAATCCTTCTGCGCCTGTAACCAACCCCCAAGGAGGTGTTTGCAGCAGCAAACACGCGTGAAGAGGGGGTTCAAGGTGGGATGAGGGCAGCGGGATCCAGCGGGAGCCTTCCGCCATGTGCCACCCCCTCACCCCCAACCAAGCTCCATCGGAGGGGTTTCAACGACCGATGGTCCTCAGGCC